GGCCCCCCTGGGCCCCCCGGGGGGCCCCCCCCGGCGTGCGGGGGCCCCCCGGGGGGCCCCCGGGGGCCCCCAGGGGCCCCGAAAAGAGACTTGTAGATGTTCGGGTATTCTGAGGGGATTCTTTCCTGCTGCTTTTGCTGCTCGACTGCAGCAGGCCATAGAACGCAGAGACCCCGAGGCCCTTGTTGCTGTTCTCAAGGAAGACGAGGGGGGCCCCTACCAGGTGCGGCTGCTGCACTGCAGCAGCAGCAGCAGCAGCAGCAGCAACTGCTGCTGCTGCTGCGGCTGGTGCTGGTGCTGGTGCTGCTGAGGAGCTAACAACACTTTCAGGGGGCTTCACGGGGCACAGCGACGCCGCAAGAGCCTCCGCTTGTTGCTGCTGCTGCTGCTGCTGCTGGATGTGTTTGAATTGCATTTGCTGCTTCTGTCTCTGTCTCATTTGCAGGCGGACTCTTTGGCTTTTGCTGGAGACGCTGCCTGCCTGCACGTTGTCTTTGCTGCGCTGCAGCAGCAGCAGCAGCAGCTGGAGCTGCTGGAAGCACTTTTCTCTCACGGCTGCAGCGTCGACTCTGGCTGGCCCTCGGCTGCCTTCTTCGCAGCACGCCCCAGCAGCAGCAGCAGCAGCAGCAGCAGCAGCAACGGCAGCAGCGGCAGCAGCAGCAGCAGCAAACCAGCCCTAGAGGACGAGGACTCTGAGGGCATGTCGAACGGCTTCACGCACTTGTGTGTGCAGAAATCAGCTGCTGCTGCTGCTGCTGGGGGCAGCAGACACAGCAGCAGCAGCAGCAGCAGCAAAGGCCTGGGGGGCATTAGATGGGGCCCCAGGGGCCCCCATAAGGGTACTGTACCCTTACCTGCTGTGCTGCAGCCCCCCAAGAGGGGCCCCTACGGGTTGGGGCCCGCAGCAGAAGGCTGGCTGTTCAGCAGGAAAAGTGCAGCAGCAGCAGCAGCAGCAGCAAACGGGGGCGACACAGAGCAGCAGCAGCTGCTGCTCAAGAAGCTTAAAGAAGCCCCACTGCTGCTTGTCGGAGAGGTGGGGTTGTTGTACTCGGGGGACTTGGCGGTGCACCACCTCATAGCAGAAATGTCTGAACAACCCGGTAACCCCAAACCCTAAACCCTAAACCCTAAACCCTAAACCCTAAAGCCCAAACCCTTGCGGCTCCAGGCTGCTGGGCCCGCACACTAGTGCTGCGCTGCCTCTGCAGCAAAAGGCTGCTTGCGGCCCAGGCAGCAAAACTTTAAGCTTGAGAGTATGCCCTGCGCTTCAGGGTTTAGGGTTTAGGGCTTAGGGTTTAGGGTTTAGGGTTTAGGGCCTTGCTGCGCTTCAGGGAAACTTTTGGTAGCTGCTGCTGCAGCCAGTTCGCCTGAAGTGCTGCAGCGGCTCCTGCAGCGGGGAGGAAACCCCAATTGTATGAGGGTAAGCTCAGCAGCGGGTCTCAAGCAGCAGCAGCAGCAGCAGCAGCTGCTGCTGCTGCTGCTGCAGGAGCAGAAGCAGCAGAAGCAGCAGTAGCAGCAAACATAACAGATGCAGCGACAGCAGCACGTGCAGCTGCTGCCACTCTTATTGTTACCCCTTAAGCTGAGCTGTGGTGCGGTGGCTTTGCGGCTGCGTTATGTTTTCCTGCTGCTGCTGCTGCTGCTGCTGCTGCAGCACGGACTATCGCCGCTGAGTGTTGCTGCTGCATGCGGCGCAGCTGCAGAAGGGAAGGCTCGGCTCCTCCTGGCCTTTGGGGGGGCCCCCGAGGCCCCCCTGCCCTTTGCTGCTCAGAAGCAATGTGCTGCAGCAGCAGCAGCAATAGCAGCAACAGCAGCAAAGCGGCTTGCTGCCTACGCGCTGAAAGCCAGCAGCCGGTTCCAGCTGCGGCAAGCAGCAGCAGCTGTTCCTCTTTCGCCAAATGGGACTCCTGATGCAGCAGGTGACGCAGCAGCAGCAGCAGCAGCAGCAGCAGAACTGCCCTGCTTCGGAGCTCTCGAAGCAGCAGCAGCAGCACTGGGCCGCCCCGTTGCTGTTGCTGCCGGAGATGACATTCCCGCTTTGCTGCAGGCAGCAAATAACAGGAACTTACCTTTGGTCAGTTCAGTTCGGCGGTTGCTGCAGCTCCGTGTCCTGCTGCTGCTGCTGCTGCTGTTGCTGCTGCTGCTGCTCGGCTGCTGCCACCTTCGGTGCTGCTGCGGCCACTTGGATGCAATACTAGACTGGACATGCACCTGCAGCGGTTGCGGTTGCTGACTTTGGACTGCTGCATTTTGCTGCTGCTGCCGCTGCTACTGCTGCTGCTGGATTCTGCTGCTGCTGCTGCTGCTGCGTGTACATTTGGCATTCATGTTATGGCGCTGTAGGCTGGTGTGGCTCAGAGATCTTCTGAGCTTCTGCCGTTACTACTGTTGCTGCTGCTGCTGCTTCTGCTGCTGCTTCGCCTTAACTGCTGCTGCCTTCTGTATGCCATTGCTGCTGCCTCTCTTGCCGTTGCTGCTGCTGCTAAGCAGCAGCTGCTGCTGTTGCTGCTGGCCTTCGAGCAGACGCCCTTGCCTTTGCCACCTTCTCGCTGTTTCACTCGCTGCTGCTGCTGCTGCTGCTGCAGGCGGAGCTGCTGCTGGACAACGGGGCCTCGCCTGAGGTGTACGTACTCTCTGCTCGGCTGCCTTCTCCTCTTTTCTATTCTGTCTTTTGGGGTTTGCTGCCACTCGTGAGGCTTCTCCTGTCTCACGGCGCAAACCCATTCATTGCCAAAGAAGTACGTTGCTGCTGCTGCTGCAGCAGCAGCAGCAGCTGCTGCTGCTGTTGCAGCTGCTGCTGCTGCTGCTGCAGCAGCAGCTGGAGATGCTGCTGCTGCTTCTTTTTCTGCTGCTGCTTCTACTGCTGCTACTGCAGCTGCTGCTGTTCCTGCTACTGCAGCTGCTGCTGTTCCTGCTGCTGCAGCTGCTGCTGCAGCTACTGTAGTTGCTGCTGCTGCTGCTGCTGTCGCGCGTGTGCGCGTTGGCTCCCGCGCGTGTCCAGTGTCTTTCGCCTTCTGCTGCTGAGCCATCTGAAGCAGCAGCACCCGAAGCAAACTAAACAGTCAAATAAATAAATAAATGTATAAATTAATTTAAGTAATTAAATTAAATAAATAATTAAAGTTGTTTGTCAGAACGGAGAAGGCCTCGAAGTCACCGCCCGCCGCGCGCTGCACTTCTCGCTGCTGCAGAAGCCGCAGCACATTTTGAAGCTGCCGCTGCCCAAGGCCTCCCCCGCAGTCTGCAGACAAATTCTTTCCCTCATTGGTCTGCTGCTGCTGCTGCTGCTGCTGCGCGGGGTGCCGCTGTTGCTGCGGCGCGTGGTGCTGGTGCTGCTGCTGCGAGGGGTGCTGCTGCTGCGCGTGGTGCTGCTGCTGCTGCTACGGCGCGTGGTGCTGCTGCTGCTGCGCGTGGTGCTGTTGCTGCTGTTACGGCGCGTGGTGCTGCTGCTGCTGCTGACGCTGTTGATGCTGTGCCAGGTCTGCTGCTGGCGTTGCTGCTGCGTTCAATGATGCTGTTGGTGTTGTTGTCGTGCTTGATGCTGCTTTTGCCGTGCTGCTGTTCCTGCTGCTTTTGTGGCCGCTGCTGCTGCTGCTGCTGCTTGTTTTTCACTGCTGCTGTTGTTGCTGCTTTTGCTGCCGGGGCCAGTGCCTCTGCCAATCGTTTCTGTTATTCCCTTGTTTCTGCCGAGACTGCTGCTGCTTTTGCTGCTGCTGCTGCTGCTGCTGCTGACCGAGCAAGTTGCTGCTGCTGCAGACTTTGCTGCTGCTTGCTGCTGCTTGTGCCTGCAGAAACGGCGCAGCGGCGCTGGGCTTCCATAGTGCTGCAGTCCGTGAGCAGCAACGAGAGCGACCCCGCAACAGCAGCGGCAGCAGCAGCTGCTGCTGCTGCTTCGCGCAGTGGCCTCAGTGCTGCTGATGTTGCACCCAAAGCCCCCGAGCTGCTGCGGGCCACTTGGGAGTCTTCAGTGCTTGAGGGGCCCCGCAGCCCGGCAGCAGCAGACTCGTTTCTTAGCAGCAGCAGCAGCAGCAGCAGCGGGAGCGGCAGCAGCAGAAGCATCATTAGTAGTCTAGGAAGCAGCAGCTGGTACCCTGGGCGCCCCCTCTCCTGTGTGACAGAGATGGACTTGGGATTCCCCCAGGGGGCCCCCCCTGCAGCAGCACTTGCTGCGCATAAGGAAGGGGATACTACAGCAGCACCTGGGGGCCCTCTAGCTGCTGCTGCTGCTCCTGCTCCTGCTGCTGCTGGCATAACGGGGGGTTCTGGGGGCCCCCTCTTCCGCCTCCCCTCTGTATCATGCCTGTTTGAAGAGGCCCCACAGCGGGCCCCCGGGGCCCCTGGGCAGGGGCCCCTGTGGGCCCCGGGGGCCCCTGCCAAGGGGCCCCTGCATGCAGCCTTTTTAAGCAGCAGCAAGCCAGTAAGGGGGGCCCCTAGCAGCACCGAAGGTACCCTTTTGGGGGCCCCCTCTTCGGGCGCCTGGCCTTGGGCCCCAAGCCCTTCTCTAGATATCTTTGCAGCAAATAGTCCTGGTAGTCCTGCTGCAGCTCCTGCTGCAGCTCCTGCTGCAGCTGACGCTGCAGCAGCTGCAGCTGATGCTGCTGCTGCTGCTGCACCCAATGCTGCAGCTGACACCCCTGCGCACCTCCTCGCCATCTCTCCTGCTGGTTCTGCATCTGATTCAGCTGCAGCAACAGCAGCCGCAGCAGCAGCAGCAGACCAGTCTGTGGCTGTTTCAAATGGAGAAGCTGAGAAGCCTTGGGGGGCCCCCCTCCAGGTTTCTTTGTTCCCTACGGGGGCCCCACAACTGCCAATCCCAGGGGGTCCCCAGCAGCAACTCTCGGGGGCCCCCTTTCAGCCAATTTCAGGGGCCCCCAACAGGACTGTATCCTATAGGTCCACTTCTGGGGGCCCCCCTGAATCGACATCTGGGGGCCCCCAAGATTCCGCTTCTGGGGGCCCCCTAAAGTCCAGCTCGGGGGGCCCCCCAGAGTTCACCTCAGGGGGGCCCCCAGAGACCAACTCGGGGGGCCCCCTGGAGTCCGCCTCGGGGGTCCCCCTAAAGTCCACCTCAGGGGGGCCCCCAGAGTCCAGCTCAGGGGGCCCCTTAGAGTCCACCTCGGGGGGCCCCCTGAAGTCCGCCCCAGGGGCCCCCTCGGGGGGCCCCCCAAAGCCCACTTCTGGGGGCCCCCTAAAGCGCACTTCTGGGGGCCCCCAGAGGTGGAAGCGCTTCCACCGCGAGTTTTCTTTAGGGCACTTCTTTAACCGCAAAAAGACCAGGGGGCCCCACTAAGGGGGGCCCCCTGGGGGGCCCCCTAAAGGGGGGCCCCCAGGGGGGACCCCGGAAAGGGGGGCCCCCTGGGGGCCCCAGGCCCCAATAAGAGAGGGGAGCCCCACAGACGGGCCCCTTAGTTTCGGATCATGAAGCAGGAAAGAGGGTACTAAGCCAGCCGTTTAGGGTTTACAAGCAGCAGGGGCCCCATGGGCCCTAGGGTTTAGGGTTTAGGGTTTGTTTTGGTCTTTGCCGCTGACGCTGCATTTCTGCTTTATCTGCAATTCTATTTTATTATTTAGCAACAGCCAGCAGACTGAGGGGCCCCAAGGGGCCCCCAAAGGGCCTGGAGGGCCTCCTTATTGGGCCCCCAAGGGTGCCCTTAAGTGACTGCAGCAGAGTCTAGAGCTATGCTGCAGCAGCAAAGTCAGTCCTGCTGCACTTCCGTGGGTTTTGCTGCTGCTCCCAATTTAGGGCTAGGGTGATCCTGCTGCTGCTGCTGCCAGGCCCCTTCTAATGCGGGCAGAGCGGCAGCAGCAGCAGCAGCACAGCCGGGCAGGTCCTTGGAGGATCAGGGTCAAGGGTTTGGAGTCTAGGGCTTAGGGTTTAGGGTTTACGTGGAGCTGCCCAACGCGGGGCCCCAGATGGAGTTGAGAAGAAAAGGCGGGAAATTGGTGCAGCAGCAGCAGCAGCAGCAGCGAAGGAGCAGCAGCAGCACAGCAGCGGCAGTTCTGCTGCTGAGGCTTCGCTGCTGCAGCTTTGCTTCATGGCGTGTATGCACAGGGGCCCCTTGTTGCACCTGCAGGGCCCGGCAGCCGCTGTTGGGGGTCCCGTGCAGCAGCAGGGCCCCTTTTTAAAGCCCCCCGCCGAGCTGCTGCAGCTGCTGCTGCTGCTGCAGCAGCTCAGACTTAAATATGGGTACTACAGCTCTCAGGGGCCCCTAGGGGGCCCCTGCGAGCTTTTGCTTCAATGGGCGCCCTCGGTGTCTGGGGAAGCCCGCCGGGCAGACAGCCAGGCGGGCAAATAGACCACTTTTGGGTTTAAATTGAAGTTAATTTTGTTAAATTAAATTAAATTAAATTAAATTAAATTGAAATTTCATTTTTCTGTTCTTTAGAGCCCGCATATGCCAGTGCACACTCTGTCTGGGCCAGCTCGGGCGGCGCACGCTGGTGTGGCGCACACCTCTGAAACAGCCGCGAAATGGCACTTATTCTCTACAAATAACCCTTTTTCAATGTAAAAGAATTTAATTTATTTAAATAAACATAATAAAATCTTTATTTCGAGGTGTCTGGAGCTGCTAGCGTGGCCGGGGTATCGGGGCGGCGGTGGTGACTCTGGCGGTGACCGGGCGGCTCTGCCGCGGCTCCTGCAGCGAATGTCTTTGTTTGCTTCTGCAAAAAAGCAAGAAAATAGATACATTTGAACTCAAATTTAAATTGAACTTCGAAGCTGCAGCAGCGGGGCGGCGAGGAGCAGCAGCAGCAGCAGCAGCAGCAGCTCGAGAGACGGCCGGGGTGACGCGGCGGAAGCTCCCATGCGCTGCGGCCGTTTGTTTGCAACTCGAATTGTTTTCTTTTATCTTTTTTATTTTTTATTTATAATTGCAAAAAGACAAAAAGACTAATGCCCGAAGTTCCTTCTCGGTAGCCCTGGCGCTCCCCTGCAGCAGCCTGCTTCTTCCCCTGTCTATCGCGTCAGCTGCTGCAGCAGCAGCAGCTGCTGCTGAAACAGCAACAACCCTCGCAGCAGGCTGCAGCAGCAGCCCCCAAAACCCTTCCCGACGGCTTCAGAAGCAAGCAGCCGCGGCCTCAGCAGCAGCCGCAGCAGCAGCAGCACCTGTCGCCACCGCAGCAGCAGCAGCAGCGCAGCAGCAGCAGCAGCAGCCGCAGCAGCTTCTCGCCCCCTCACCATGGCCTACGCAGCTCTTCATGAAGGCGAAGACCCCCACAACTTCGGGGGAGGGGCCCCAGGCTCTTCTTTATCTTCTTTTTTGTCTAAGGGCCTCAACACTGCTGCAGCTTTAGGGGACTCTGGGGTTTCTACCCGTACCCACAGCCCCCTGGGCTCTTCAGCGGGCCCCAGGGGCTCCCACGAGGGGCCCCACGGGGGCCCCCCGGGGGGCCCCCACGGGGGCCCCCCCGGTGGCCCCCACGGCCCGGGGGGCCCCCTCGAGTCGGGGGCCCCCAGCAGCAGCAAGTCTGTGCCCCAGGAGGCCCAGGGGGAAACTTCAGTGAGGACTGTCCGCAGCGACAGCCAAGAGGGTACGGATTTGGGGCCCCCAGGGGCCCCCGGGGGCCCCGGGGGCCCCGGGGCCCCCGGGGGCCCCTACAAACCCAAAAAGCTCTTTTCCTTTGAAGATGCAGCGCAGCAGCGCAGCGGGGCCCCACACTCTGCCCCTGAAAGGGCCCTAAGGCTGGTAACTGCTTTGACGGGTGAGTCTGAAAGAAAAGTTAATTTCAGCAGCAGCAGCAGCAGCAGCAGCAGCAGGGCCCGGCAGAAGCAGCAGGGCCCCAGGGGGCCCCCCGAAACCCTCTAGGGTTCATTAAAAGACCTGGGGGGCCCCTCAAGAGCCCTGGAGTGGCCTGGGGTCTTGGGGCCCCTGGGGGCCCCTGGGCCGCTGGAGGGTCTGGGGGCCCCTGGGGGCCCCGGGGCCCCTAGAAGCCCGAGGGCTTCCCGGGGACTCAGGGGCCCCCGGGGACCGGGGCATTTCTTTGAAAGCTCTCTTTTGCTGCCACTCGGCTGCTGCTGCTGCTGCTGCTGCTGCTGCTGCTGAGAGATTTTGGGTGACTGTGGGGTGTTGTGGGGTGTCTGTACATCTGAGGAGCGGAAGGCTGGGAGTTGGCAGCAGAAAAGGGCCAGGGCATTTCTTTGAAAGCTCTCTTTTGCTGCCACTCCGCTGCTGCTGCTGCTGCTGCTGCTGTTGCAGCTGCTGCTGCTGGAGTGCCCTTTGCCTGCCGCGACAGCTGGCGGCGCAGCCAGTTGGCTCTGGTGCGGCTGACAGCAGCAGCAAAAGAAACTGTGGGGCTCAGCAACCTCGTCCTCGGCATGCATGTCTTCGTCGGTGAGCTGCTGCTGCTGCTGCTGCTGCCGCTGCTGCTGCTGCTGCTGATGTGGCTGCTGCTGCTGCTGACGCTGCTGCTGGTGGTGGTGGTGGTGCTGCTGGTGCTGGCGCTGCTGCTGCTGCTGGTGCTGGCGCTGCTGCTGCTGCTGGTGTAGCTGCTGCTAGTGCGGCTGCTGTTGCTGTAGCTGTTGCTGCTGCTGGTGCAGCTGCTGCTGTTGCTGTTGCTGCTGCTGCTGCTGCTGCTGTTTTTCTGTGGGGCTGCTACGGACGTCAACGCACGCAGTGGGGCGAGAGGCGGCCACGGCTCTGCCCCGCCTGCAGCAGCACTAGCAGCAGCAGCAGCAGCAGCAGCAGCGGGGGCGCGTGTGTGTGTTGCAGCTGCTGCTGCTCTTTTCTTTCTTTCTGCTTCCTCGCTGCTGCTGGGGGTGGCCCCCCGCCTCCCTGCGCTCAGCCGCCTTCTTTGGGGGCCCCTCTTGGGGGCCCCCCTGGGCCTCTGTACCCACGCGATAGCAAAGCTGCATGCAAAAGCAGCAAAGCAGCTGCTGTTCTCGCTGCTGCTGGAAGCAGAGCGCAGCGGGGCCCTTGGGGGCCCCCTGGAGGCCCCCCTGAGGCCCACCTGGGTGGCTCTGGGGGGACAGCAGCAGCAGCAGCAGCAGCAACAGCAGCACAGTCTGTGGCAGAAGGCGCTGCGCCTTTTTGGCCACGTGGACCCGTCAGCGTTGCTGCGTAAGGCCGTCAGCAGCAGCAGCAGCAGAAGCAATGCGGAAGCAGCAGCAAACCAGAACCAGCAGCAGCTGCTGCAGCGGCTCACCTGCGAAGACGTCGAAGCAGCTCTTCCGCGGGACATGCAAGAGCAGCAGCAGCTGCAGCAGCTGCAGCAGCTGCAGCAGCTGCAGCAGCTGGAGAGAAGCCCCGCGAGCCCAGCAGAGCCTGCGCTTTCTTCCAGCTGCAGCAGCAGCAGCAGCAGCAGCAGACACTTCAACGGGGCAGATGGCCGCAGGGGGGCCCCCAGTGACAGCGAAGACCTCGATGAGGGGCAGGAGGCCCTCTGATATATATAATATATGTCTATATAAATGTGAACGGAGTCAGTGTGCTGCTGCTGCTGCTGCTGCTGCTGCTGCTGCAGCAAGTCTAGCAAGAGAATAAAAGCACAGAAAGACCCAAAAGAATAAATGCAAATCAGTTAATTTATTTACTGCAGCAATTCGCACGCGGCTGAGGCTGCCGGGGCTCTGCTGCAGCGCGGCAGCTCCTCGTTTCCTGCTGAAAAAGACGAAACTGCATTTAAAATATATTTGAAAAAGAATAATTTAAAAATAAATTAAAAATAAATTCAATTTTAAAATAAATAAACAAATTCAAGAAGATCCGTCGGCGGCGCACTGCGCACAGCTGGGGTGTACGTACACCCCAGCTTGCTGCTGCACTTTTATTCGTTCCTTTTGCTGTAGCTCTTCTATTTATTTATTTTGTTTAAAAATATTTAAATGAAGAATAAATCAAAAGGACCCTCCTTCAAATTCAAAAGGATCTGAAATTATAATTCAAAAAGATCTGAAGTTTAAATTCAAAAAGATGTGAAATTTAAATTCAAAAAGAAAATATATATTGAAAAAGATCGGAAATTTAAATTGGGAAGGAAAATAAAAATTGAAAAAGATCTGAAGTGCAAATGAGGCTAAGATCCTACTTGCTGCGCATTCGCAGCTGGGCCGTCGAGCAGCAGCAGCAGCAGCACCGAGAGCAGCAAGAACTGCTGCAGCACTGCTTTGAGCGCATGCAGCTTACTGATCACGCAGCCTGCTGCTGCTGCTGTTGCTGCTGTTGCTGTTGCTGCTGCTGCTGCTGCTGCTACCTGTGCTGCTAATGTGCCCTTACTTTTGCAACTTTGCGCAACATGAGAAGCAGCGGACACAAAGCGCTTCAGCTCACGCCCAGCAGCAGAGGCCCCACACTTCTGTGGGGCCCCACACTTCTGGGGGCCCCACAGCTCTGGGGGCCCCACACTTCTGGGGGCCCCACACTTCTGGGGGCCCCACAGCTCTGGGGCCCCCCTTGCAGCTAACACTCTCTTAGTATATAGTGCACAGCGAAGCGAATGAATGATTTCTAAGGCTGCCTAGCTGCTGCTGCTGCTGCTGCTGCTGCTGTGCCCCACGAGGCGCCTTAGTGGATCCTCAGAAGCTCTTTGGGGGCCCCTCAACAACGAGGGTATACTGGGTCAGGCTGGGGGCTCCTTGGGGGCCCCCGGGGCCCCCAGGGACCCCGTGGATCTCTCGCAGTGTGTGTTTTTTGCTGTTAGCTCCTTTTTGAGCATCTCTTTGCCTCAAATTTGCATTATTTATTTGAAATAATTAAAAATATTCATTTAGAATGAGTTAATTAAACTCGAAATGACAGCAGACACCTGAGTGACCGCCGGAGGGCCCCGAGAACCCTTGGGGCCCCGGGGCCCCCAGGGGGGCCCCCGGGGCTCCCAGCTCCAGAAGGGGTTCTGTTTGTGCTGCAGAAGAGCCACATTTGAAATAAAAGTCCTTATTAGATCTTTTTAAAATCAAAATAAGGCAATTTTTGGGGGCCCCCAGCTGCTTCTGGGGGCCCCGAGGGAAGCAGAAGCCAGGGGGCCCCCAGCTGGCCTCAGCAATGGCTGGCTGGTGAGCTGCGGGGGCCCCACAAGCATGCATGCGCAGCGTAGGCCCAACTGGGTACTGCTGCTGCTCGTGCTGCTGCTCCTGCCCCCGCAGCAGCAGCAGCAGCAGCAGCTCGTTTCTGGCTTTCTGCTGCCAGCAGCACCCCCCGGTGTCTGCAGGTCCCGGGGCTCTGGAGCGTGTTGGGGCCCCTCGGGCTGCTTCCCCGGGGGGCCCCCCTTCGGGGGGCCCCCCAGGCCTTGGGGGGCCCCCTTGACGGGGGCCCCGGGGGCCCCCGGGGCCCCGGGGGGCCCCCCCCGGGGGGCCCCCCCGAGAGGGTACAGGGGGGCCCCCCTGGGGGCCCTTTTGCACTCGCCGGCGCAGGAAAAGCTGGCGGCCGCGGGGGACGGGAAAAGCCGAAGTGGGGAATATTTGGTGGCGGAAATTGGGGGGAGAAAAAGGTGGCTGGAAAGGGGGCGTTTTTATGATGTGAATAGAGTGCAGCAGAAGGAGGGGGGGCTGCTGCTGCTGCTGCGGGTGCTGCTGCTGCAGCAGCAGGACGGCACGCTCCTCCTCGGCCAGCCCTTCCTCGAACACATCCGGGTACGCGCCTCCGACTCCCTAGCTAGCTGGCTAGCTGGCTGGCTAGCTAGCTAGCTAGCGGGCTGGCTGGCTAGCTGGCTAGCTAGCTGGCTAGCTAGCTGGCTAGCTGGTTGGCTGGCTTGCTAGGGGACTTGCTGGGTGGGAGGCTAACTAGCTAGAGGCTAGCTAGCCAGACAGCTAAACAGCTAGCTAGCTAGAAGGCTATCTAGCTAGAAGCCTAGCTAGCTAGCAGGCCATCTAGCTAGCAGGCCAGCTAGCTAGAGAGCTGAAGGGCTCTCTGGAGAGGAGTTTAGCTGGACTAGGGTGCTAGCTAGCTAGCTAGCTAGCTAGTTAGCTAGCTAGCTAGCTAGCTAGCTAGCTAACTAGCCAGCTAGCTAACTAGCTAGCTAGCTAGCTAGCTAGCTGCTTAATGGGCGCTGGCGCTGTTTGCACATATGCCGGGACTTCAGCTAACTCTTTAGCCCCTGCCAGCAGCTGCCGCACGCCCGTTTCCACTCAGCTCCGCGTCTGCTGCTGCACGGCCGCTGCTGCTGCTGCTGCTGCTGCTGCTGCTGCTGCTGCTGCAGGTGTGGGCGACGGTGCTGAAGCACTTCCGGGGCCCGAAGCTGCACCTGGGGAAGCAGCGGCCGAAGAAGTGGCGGAAGATGTGGGGCCACCGCCAGGCGCGGACTCGAATTCGAATTGACAAAATTGAAAATGTGGAGGAGTCTTTGCTGCTGCCCAACGCCCTCCAGGACCCGCTGCTCGCGGCCCTCCTCGTAAGCCAGCAGCAGCAGCAGCAGCAGCAGCAGCGGCGGCGGCAGCGGCGTAGCAGCAGCAGCAGCAGCAGCGCAGTGAAGGGAGGGCGGCGGGCTGTGGCTGCGCGCGGGGTGTATGCGCAGCTGCGCGGGTGTTTGGGGTGTACCTACAGCTGGGCGCTGTGGCTTGCGTCTGCTTTGCGGCTGCTGCTGCTGCTGCGCTGCTGCTGCTGCTGCTGCTGCTGCAGGCGATCCGGCGCGCGGAGAAGCCGAGTCGGGTGCTGCCGCTTTACAAGCGGCTCGGGCTGCAGGCAGCAGACCGGAAGGAGCTGCTGCTGATCGGCGAAGACCCTTTGGCTCTTTTGGATCCCAAAATGAATCAATTTGCTGCTGACAGACTCGCAGCAGGACACACAGACATTTTGCCCATTCTCGGCGAGGGGCTGCAGCCCCAGCCGCAGCAGCAGCTGCTGCGCCAACTCAAGCCCCGGAGGCGCTAGCTGCCGAGGCCCTCAACACCGCAGCAGCAGCAGCAGCCGCAGCAGCAGCAGCAGCAGCAGCGTGTACGGGGCTGTGCTGTTCCGAGGCACCATTGCCTTGAAATTCTCGAGACCGCCCGAAGGCCTCTGGCCAGATTTTTCTTTGCAAGTGAAAATCATTAGATTGCAAATAAATTAGTAAATGCAAAATAATTAAATTGCAAATAAATTAGTAAATGCAAAATAATTAAATTGCAAATAAATTGGATAAATTAATTTAATATAAATTGAACTAAATGTGCTGGCCAGAGACCTCAGCTTTGTCACGTGCAGCTTTTGCTGCTGAAGCAGCAGCACCAAGTGGAGGTTTTGCTGCTGCCCTTGGGGCCCTTGCTGCTGCTTAGGGGCCCCCCGCTGCAGCAGCGGCCTCGGGGGGCCCCTCCAGGGGGCCCCTGCATGCAGTGCTGCTGCTGTGCTGCTGCTGTGCTGCTGCTGTGCTGCTGCTTGCTGCACTTCTGCTGCTACGTTTGGCGCTTGCGGGGAGCAGCAGGAGACAGCAGGAAGGCGCAGCGAGCCCGAGTCTGCAGCAGCAGCAAATTGGCAGCAGCAAGTAAGCAGCAGCAAGTGGGGAGCAGCAAATAGGGAGCAGCAAATTGGGAGTTTTAAGAAGCAGCAGCAAATAAAAACTTGTAAAATAATTTTTAAAAATTCAAGACAGCCTCATGGCTCACCATGGCGTCGCCGAGGGTGAACGGGCGGCTGGGGGCCTCAGGCGTCTTCAGGGGGGTCTTGTAGCCCCTGAAAAACCAAATAAAATAAAATAAAATAAAATAATATAATATAATAAAATAAAATAAAATGTAAAGCTCACCAGCAAGTTCTTGCCCGCCTGCTGACGGGGAGTCTTTGCATGAGCGGCGAAGTGGGGGAGCGGGGAGTGCCTGGAGGCTCAGCTGCTGCTGCTGTGTCGGCAGCTGCTGCGGCCCAAGGGCTTGCAGTGGGGCTGCGCAGGCGCTGGGGCGTGGCTGCGCGACCCGCGTGGCAGTTGTGGGGGCTGGAACTGGGAAAAAGTGACGAAGACAGAAAACAAAAAACAAGAAGAATCCCACCGAGCTGCTGAGGCCTTGGCCTTGAGAGGCACGGGCGAAGAGCTGGCCCGCACAGAAGTCCTGGCTGTGCAAGTCCGCGGCGATTTGAACGGGGCATTCAGCTTTGCGCGGGAGCAGCTGTGCGCCTGGGGAGTGCAGCAGCAGATTTGAGCAGAAAGCCTCGCCAAACTGCAGCACGTGTGCGAAAAATGTAAAGCAATATTACTTGAGTTGTTCTTGGCCTGCGGATCGGCGGCTTTCCCGCGCGGAGAGCCTCGGGATCACCCAAGTTCATGTTCAGGTTTGCATTCAAGTTGCTGCAGTTGGCGGCTCTCCGCGTGCTTTCCGGCGAAGGCGAATCGGCCTTTTTGTTTGCAAAAAGTCTTTTGCTGCCAAAACGACTTTGCAGACTCCGCCGTTCCGTCGGGCACGCCGTCGGCGCGCAGTTTCGGAGGCGAGGCGGAGTCCTTTGCGCTGGGAGGCGCTTCAGCTTTCCGGCGGCTAGAAATCCATTGCGAGAAGAAATGGGCATTTCGGGTGAGAATTAAAGTCAAATACACGCGCGAAATGCCCATGGGAATTGCCAAACTTTCTTATTTTGCAAACAGCAGAAGCACCTTTCGGAACTGACGCCTGCGGCTGCGCGGAAGTGCCCCTGGATTCGGGTGTATAGGCAGCTCTTGAATATCTGCAGCGTGCAAAATCGCCGGGATCGCCAAAGCCCGCCAGTTATTAAAATGGCAAAAGAATACAACCGTTTTAATTCAAATATTTCAAAAGATCAGGTGGGTTTTTGCAGGAAAAGGAAGAGTCGCCGCCAGCTTTCCATGTTGAAGTTCCCGGAATTCATGAACGCGAAAAATTCAAGTTTTCGAGTTTGCGAAGCTCTACCGAGAAAGAATAAACTGCAGCGGGAAATGGCGCGAAAGTTCACTTTATAATTTCCGGCAGTTTTCCAGTTTTGCAAATTTAGTTGAACTGAGCCCTGCGTGGGCGTTTCTGCACTTCCTTGCATTTCTGTATCATTCTTATCAAGGAAAGCATCAATTTAATGTCTTTTTCTTTTTTTTTAAGTTTATTTTGCAATTTTAAAGCCGGAGACGCGGCAAGTGCATGTTCGTTTCTGCATTGATGTGGCCAGTTTCTTTCTTTTCTGAAAGACAGTGCAAACGTCATTCTTTCGCGCGAAAAAGAACCATTAGGGTTTATTTTCTTTTTCCTCATTAAGAAGTCTTCATGAAATGCTGCTGCGGCAAAAAGGCCGGAGGCTTCTTTTCTTTTTCTTCAAAAGCCACCAACACGTCGCCTTCTCGAAAGCCCTCAAAGTCGCTGTCGAAAATGACTGCGCCGTCGCGGCCTGAAAGCCCCAAACGCATGCACGGAAAGCCCCAAAGAATGCATGCATGCAGCAAAGGGCGAAATGAACAAGCCCGCTGCTGCATGCAGCTGCATGCAGCTGCATGCAGCTGCACGTGGCCCCGGCTCAGTTAGAGGCTTTGAAAGAAAGACAAAGAAAGAAGAAAAGCTGCAAAATGGAAAAGAAGAAAAGCAAAAGAGAGGAAGTTCTTGAACTGCTGCTGCTCACTTCCTTTCGGCAAACTCGAGACTGCCTCTTTGCTTTTTTGCATCGACTTCACCTTCAGGCCCTCCACCAGTGTCTTCCCGTCCCGAATCTGCAAACAAAAGAAATAAAAATGAACTCTGCGGAAAAAGAGCGCCTTCGCCACTGGCCTTTGAGGTGTACGTACACTCAGGTGTACGTACACCTGAAGCCGCGCTCCCCAAACCCCACAAGCAACCCCCAGCGCCAGCTGTGGGGCCCCACACTGCAGCAGCTGCAGCTAGCTAGCTAGCTGCCCAGCAGCAGCTAGCTAGCTTTCTGGCCGGCGCGCCAGCTAGCTAGCTGGCCCACGAGGTGTACGTACACCGCAGCCCCGGGCCTGGGGTGTACGTACACCGCAGGACCCGCAAAAACGCACCAAAGAGTAAAGGTGGTGAGTGCTGGGGGCCCCCTGTTTGACCTCGAGGCCCAGAACAACTTGGGGGCCCCCCTTTTTCTTCTTCAAAGAGTAAAAGCCCACGCGAGTCACTGCAGCACGAGCTGTTTGCTGCAGCACAAACTTGCTGCCGAAGTGAAAGTCCGAAATCAACTCCAAGTCCTCAAACAGCCGGTACACCACGCTGTGGCTCCGCACGGGCACGCCCCACTCCTCCGCCAGCTGAAACAAACCCCAAACCCTAAACCCTAAACCCTAAACCCTAAACCCTAAACCGTAAGGCCTGCTCGGCCGCAGCGTCTACGCCCCACCTCGCACACTGACACGCAGCAGGCTGGCCACAGGGGCAGCAGGCTGCCTAGCCAGCTAGCCAGCCAGCCAGCTAGCCAGCTAGCTAGCTAGCTAGCCAGCTAGCTAGCCAGCTAGCCAGTGGCGCGCACGGGCCAATGCACCACCCGCAGCCCTCCCCTGCTAATCTTTGCTCAAGTCGCAAACCGCTCGAGAAAGCCTCTGCTGAACTTCCCAGTGGCAGGCTAGCTAGCTAGCTAGCTAGCTAGCCAGCTAGCTAGCCAGCTAGCTAGCCAGCTAGCTAGCCAGCTAGCTAGCCAGCTAGCTAGCTAGCTGGCTCACCTGGCCAACGTTTTCAAGAAAGGGAACGCCGAAGGCTATCAAGAGGGCCCCCGTGAGTTTGGCGTAGTTGGCGTCGGAGGGGCTGACGGGCCCCACACCGGACTTGACCACTCTAAGGGGCCTCCACTGCAGCAGCAGCTGCTGCTGCAGCGCCTCTTTGCTGCTGCCCGGGGGCCCCCCCCCCTGCTGCGCCGCTGCTGCTGCTGCTGCTGGCGGGGCTGCTGCTGCTGCTGCGGCTGCGGCCCGGGCCAGCGCCTGCTGCACTGCAGCAGGCAGCGCGGGCTGCTGCCTGGTCCACTGGTTCTTTGCTGCTAACCAGTGGACCACTGCCTCCAGACTGCCCTGGTCTGCTGCCTTCAGCACCAGCGCCACCTCGGGCAGCAAGCTGCTGCCGGAGTGCCGCAGCTGCTCCGCGCGCCACACTGTGGCCTGCTCGCAAACCCTAAACCCTAAACCCTAGACCCTGAACCCTCAGCCCTAAACCCTAAACCCCGCAAACGCCTTCCCCTGGACCCTCTCGCCCACCTCCAGCGCTTCTCCTTCCTGCTGCTTCTGCAGGGACCGCGCCTGCACACACCGCACGCACTAAACCCTAAACCCTAAACCCTAAACCCTAAACCCTTTCGCCTTCATAAGCCCCGCACGGAAGCTCTCGGCAGCTCCCCAGCACTCTCCCCACGCGCCCGCGAGCCTCCGCCTTATTCCCAGCAGCAGCAGCAGCAGCAGCAGCAGCAGCAGCAGCAGCAGGGCCGAACCTCCAAGGCCCGCTGCGCCATAGCAGCAAGCTTTGCTGCCTGCTGCTGCGTCTTTGTCTGCATCACCAGCTGCCCCGCAGAAGCTTCCAACTCCCCCAGCCCTCCGATCTCCACCGCCTCATTCATTCCTGCAACAGTCACCCGCAGGGCCTCCCCGGGGCCCCACCCCCGGGGGGCCCCGGGGAGGCCCTGCGGGTGACTGTTGCAGGAATGAATGAGGCGGTGGAGATCGGAGGGCTGGGGGAGTTGGAAGCTTCTGCGGGGCAGCTGGTGATGCAGACAAAGACGCAGCAGCAGGCAGCAAAGCTTGCTGCTATGGCGCAGCGGGCCTTGGAGGTTCGGCCCTGCTGCTGCTGCTGCTGCTGCTGCTGCTGCTG